GGACAGTGAATAAGACACATTAAAAGTTAAAAATCATATTTCTGGATTAGGTGATGTCCTCGATAGGTACATGTTTTAGTCAGCTATTTTGCTATGGCCAAAGGACCCGATCAGAACAACTGCAGAGGAGGAAAAGTTTATTTGAGGGCTCACAGTGTCAGAGGTCTTAGTCCAGGGACAGCAGGTTCCATTCCTCTGGGTTCAAGGTGAGGCAGGACATCATAGAGAAAGAATGTGGCGGAGGGAAGCAGCTCATGTGTTGACCAAGAAGCAGAGAAAGAGACTCCACTTGCCAGACACAAACATATACCCTAAAGCCAAATACCAAGTCCCACCTCCTCTAGCCACACCCTACCACTTCAGTTATCACTCAGTCAATCCCTATCATGGGTATTAATTCACTGATTAGGTTAAGGCTATAACCCAATCACTTTCCCTGGAAACCTTCTTGTATTATCTCACACATGAGTTTTGGGGAAACACCTCACATCCAAACCATAAGAGTACACAAAAAGAAAAGCATATTTAAAGAGAAGGAAAATATTCCATTCTAGGCCAGGTTGAATTTGAAATGCTTACAGTATATCCAAGTGGTAATTTTTGAGACATTTAAAATTGAGCTCAAGACATCAGAAAATAAAAGTGAATGTTAGTTGTTTAATGTAGGTGTAATATAAGTAAAAATATCCTAATAAAATACATTACTTATTGTAAAGTAATATCAATGAGTTATAGACTACTTTAAAAATACAGCTAAGCAAAGGAAATTTAAAAATATACAGAGACATAACCATACAATCTTATATCTAGCACCCAGATATAAATTATAATAAAATGTGGTTACATTTATATAAGGATATACACAAATAATGGGATTATTTAAATGGGATATTTATATAGAGCATATGCTCTGTGGTAACAGGTTTTATCCATTCAACAGCACATCATAAAACATCTTTCTAGTTCAGCCAGACTCAGTAAGGCACATCTGTAATCCCAGTGATTCAGGAGGCTGAGGCAGGAAGATCACGAGTTCAAGACCAGATTCAGCAACTTACAGAGGCCCTAAGCAGCTAGCAACTTTGAGACCCTGTCTCAAAATAAAAAATAAAAAGGGATGAGGATGTGGCTCAGTGGTCTGTCCTCATGGTAATATTTCTGCCTGATTATTTCCTTGGAAGAAAAAATTCCTAATAGTGGGACTGCTGACTAAAATGTAATATTTTATATATATATAGGTGTGTATAAAAAATATATGTCATATATATGTAAATGTACATTTGCATATTTAGGGCTTTTGATAGATATTGCCAAATCTTTCTCTAGAAAAGAGAAAGATTTTGCCAAATCTTTCTCTAGAAAAGAGAAAGATTTTAGAGAAAACCTTTCTCTAAAATCTCTAAAGAGATTATAGCAATTTACAATTCCATAAGCACTATATTCAAGTACTCATTTTCCCACACTTTCTCCAAACTGTTATATACTTAACCATGCAGATCTTTAAGAATTGTATAAATAAAAATGTAAATTGCATTTTTTAACATTTTCCATTTATTTGCTAGAATTTAAACTGTTTACATTTTATTCGCAATTTGTCTTTTTCCAGTTTTCCTTTTGCAAACTGCTAATTGTTGTCCTTCGCCACCTTTTCTTTAGTAACACTGTTACCAATTTGTAAGAGCTCCTTATATGTTATGGACTTTAACCTTTAATCATTAATGCTACATTTTTTCTTAAATATAAAAAATAAGTTTGTCACTTGTCATTTATCTTAAGTGAGCATTTTGGTAAGCAGAAAAGTTTAATTATTGGAATAGCCATGATTTGAAATGACTGTTTCGAGGAACAAGGGTAAGAGGTATCCAGAATCAATGGAAAAACTAAAGCACTATGTGAAAGGCTCTGCTGAGATGGGAGAACATGCATTTCTACTGGCTTTCACCTACAAACAGCAGCAGTGCTTGGTAACTTGGTTGCAGAGGGAGAATGGGTATCCACATATCAACCCTGCATAGAGATTTAGAAAGTAAAACTAGCCCTTCCCCAAAGGAAATCTAATCAGAACCTAGTCCCTTCCTTTCCAAACAACATTCAGAAACATCAGGAAAAACAAAACAAGAGCCATCTATCAAAAATTTGAAACTCACTCAAGTAGCACAGGAGTAGTTTGCTCTTGCAAATCATGCAGCATTTCCATGTATTTTTAGATGTCTCCTTTAATATAAAGAGTATCAATCTCCAGAAATGGTCTTGAGGAGAAAGTCAGCCATCTTCCTAAACAGTCAACTTTAGAAGGGACAAACATCAGACCCTTCCAGACTCACATACCTTCAGTGTTCCTGTCTCCCAGAAGACTACCGACCCCTCAGACAGTGGCCCCAAACACAGAATGAACACACACACACACACACACACACACACACACACACACATACGTAGAGAGAGAAAGTGATCAGGATTCACTCAGGGTTTCATCTACTGGTTTAATTAGAAGCTGGACAAAGGAATGAGGTAGTCATGTGTATTAGCTAGTGTTTTGTTCAAGTAACAGACCACATGAATAGGACAAGAAGCAACTTGCAATAGGATTCTCCAGAGGAACAAAACCAGCAGAAAATGCATGTGTGTGTGTGTGTGTAATTATAAGAGGGAATTTATTAGATTGGCTTACACTGTCAGAAGCTGAATAGTTCCCCAGTGGCTGTCTGCAGGCAAGAGAATCAGGGAAAGCAGCTCTTTCTCAATCCAAGAAGCTAGAAGCTTCAGAAAAAGAGATGCCAATCATGTGTCCCCATTCTGAGGCTAAAGTCCTGGAAGCCCCCTGGGGAGTGGCTGGTGCAAGTCTGCATTCAAAGGCTGGTGAATCTGGAGTCTGATGTCCACAACCAATGGCAACATTAAGAAATGTACCTGCTCAAGAAGAGTGGAGTGTACCTGTCTGAGAGCTTCCCTTTATGCAACTATTTTGTTCCTTCCAGGCCCCCATCCTATTGGATGGTGCTGTTCATATTCAGGGCTGGTCTCCCCACTCACTTCTCTAACCTACATGCCAACTCTCTCTGGAAAAACCCTCCACAGACACATCTAGAACTGTGCTTTACTCATTTTCTAGGCATCTCTCAATCCAGTCAAGTTGACAGTCAAGTATATTTACTGGATCTAACAAATTTCATTTTAGACATTCTACTTTCCATTTTCTTGCATTCTCTTTATTTTTTAAAAAAAATATTAGTATATTACAATTATTTGTAATAGAGGGATTTGTTGTTGCATATTCTAAAGTTTCAGACTATTTTTTTCTTTTTTCTCTTTGTGTCGCTGGGAATTGAACCCAGGACTTTGTATATGCTAGGCAAGGGCTCTGTCCCTGAGCTATATCCCCAGGCCTCCCTGCATTCTCTTTATTTAATCTTAACCTACACTTAAAAGCAGCACTGTCTTCTTGCATCACAAACAGCATTTCATTCCAGAAGATGGGATGTAAAGACAGAAAGTTAGAGGGAATAGAAAAACAGTACCATGTACCCTTTCATCCTTGACAAAAATCACAAGATACACAGTAAACACCAGACCATTCAATGAGTTACCACATTCAATGGTCACAACTCAGGGTCATGCTGACCAAAATGGAAAAGTGCCAAGTACCTCCTGTGCTGAACTGAACTCCAAAGTCCAGTAGTCTGTTTGCTCTCACCAGAGACAATTTTTTTTTTTTTTTTTATAGCTTACTTAGCAACAGCTAACTTGGGACCTTAGAAAATCCAGGCCCTCTTTCTAACACACCGCTACTTCATTTAGAGGACATCTTCACTGTAGAGTCAGGAGATTACCATCCAATTGCTTATGAAAACATGATGTCAGAATTTTAAACATCTCTATTCTATCTCCAGTGTCCTCTCTCCCCAATAAATCCTTGAAGAAAGAGAAAAAGTGAAATTCCTCTTATGTGTGGGTGACCAGGGAAGGAGACAGCAGTCTTCTGTAAGTAGGGTTAGGAGGTGACCAATGGCCTGGGCTTCACTGAGCCAAGAACACAAAACCCTGGATGTGAGTCACATGCGAACTCCATATTTCATCTTGCCAAACACAAAGGAGCCAGCTAGGTAAACTCTGAGAAGTCCCCCTTTCTGTAGTCAGGTTCCACGTCATCCACAATCCTCTCACAAAGAGAAGCCATGGACTTCCTTTACCAAATTTCCTTTGGTTCAGATTTGCCACTGTAAATAGAAATGTCAGGTCTTACACTTTAACTCAGGTCACCATGTGTGAACTCTGGCTAGAGAATCAGAAAGTAAAACCCAAAGGAAATTTCCCAAAGGAAATTTTATCAGTACCCCAGTCCCTTCCTTTTCATACAACATCCAGAAATGTCAGGAAAAACAAAACAAAGGCAGACTCGTAAAAAAATTAGAAACTCATTCCTTGTATATGAACAGTATCAGGTGTCCAGAAATGATCTGGAGGAGATAGCCATCTTCCTAAGGAGTGAATTTTGCACCAAGAAAGAGGAAATATTGGATGCTTCTGGACTTACCTTCTGTCTCCCTCTCTCCCAAACACCTCAGGCAGCCCCCAAATATGAAACACACACACACACACACACACACACACACACACACACCTCTGTATGGCTGAGAACTGCATAGAAATCACCAGGCTAAGTTACTCAAAGCCTCTTTCCTCATCAGAGTTGATGCACAATGACAGGAGCCAACAATAGGCCCCAGGCTACTTCACTCGCTTCTGCTGAAAGGAAATTAAATATTTCCAGCAAAATAAAGCTCCTAGAACCAACCCTTCATCCACCAAATTAGAAAATGCCAATCTTCACTTCTAACAGGAAGACCTTTCATTTCAAAACTCAGCAGAGGCAGAGCCTTTGCTACATACAGTTCCATCGCATTTTTCTCCTAGTATAAGATCAGAGATGGTCACCCAGGAAATAGCCCTGGACCAGTACCTAGGCCTCAGCCCTGACCCCGTAGAGAACAGGCACCCACCTGAGACAAAGGAATAGGCTGCCAGGATGTTGCTGAGCAGAGCCATCTCCATGTGCTCCGCGATCACGGGCTCGGTGCTGTGGCTGAAGGGGAGCTTCATGCTGCATCCAGCAGAGACTTCCCGGAGATGCTGCAGCTGAATCAACGGGGCCACACTCTTTCTCTTCTCTTCTGTTTAGAAACATAAAGTGAGGGATGAGGTACATTCGGCTTTCTAGGGACTGTGTTCCAAGTAGCTTAGGCTCAAGAACAAAGAGCCATCTCCTCAATGCAGCCAACTTTCCCAGCCAGGGAGCCACAATGACCCAGGGTTTTGTCCTCTTTGTTCAAGCGAGCTTCTTGGTTTTCAAGGATGCAGTAATTCTTTATATCTGTTTTCCCCAGCCTTTCTCCTCTCTCTTCCCCATCTCATCACTTCCCACTTTAGCACATCTCTCTTACCTGTCCGAGTACTCTTTATTGTATTCTCCCTGGTTCACCTTTGAGGAACTGTCCATTGAGTTCAAATCTCCATCACCTTAATCCCTGCACTGTAACCCCAAGCCACAGTTTGCTCTACTCCTCTTCTTCCCCTGCTGGAGCCTGCACTGACACTTGTGTACCTTGATCAGTTTGCCTTATCCCTCAGGTCAAAAACTGTGTACCCTTGGCAGTGGGCCAGAGCTGGCTATCCCAGAGCTGCAAAAGTCATTTGAGTTCTAAAATATTCCTGAGAATTTAAGAGCTCAGCCTGCTCCCTGACCCCAACTCCATGATTCCGCCTGTGCCTGTGTTGGGCCATCCACAGACATGCACAGACCATCCACTGACAGAACTATCCCTCTAGGAGTCAGAACCAGGACAGAGATCTCAGGGTCCAGTGATGCTGCCTCTGGCTGCAGGAGCACATCCCTTCCCCATCATGGTCCTCAGACCCAGCATAGTCATTACCTAGTTCACTAGGCAAACACGTCCAGAAAAGCCCCTAAAGATGGAGGGAAAGAAATGGTAAGGACCCTGGTACTTGCATTTAAGGCTGCTGTGAGCTGAGGCCAGGGAACTGAGTTACAGGGTGAGCAGAGGAACAGAGAGGCCAGGGAAGAAACTTGGGCTCTCAGTGGATCACAGGGGTCAGTAACTTGGGCCACACTGAAATGGCCTGGAGAGCTGAAATTCCACAGATGGATGGGAGTAGGTTACAACAGAAAAGACAACTGTCACTCTGGTAAGTGCCAGCAGGCTTCAGGGAAAAATAAAAGAAAACTCAGATCAACAGAAACAACCACAAAAATCTGGGAGCCCCTGAGTGGCAGGATGAAGAATGGGAGCTTCAAGGACTCTGAGAAGGGTCTGGCTACTGTTGAGAGACCTCCTGAGCCCGGGGGGCAGCGTAGGGTCTCCTTCAACAGCCTTCTGAATTCCTAAGAGGTGGTAATCGGATGGTACAGATGGAGGGTTAGAAATACCAGCCTGAGTTCAGCAGGTGTGAGGACCCCAGGATCCAGGAAGAGAATGAAGTGACTACACTCTGTCTCCAGGTGCAGTGAGACAAGGCTGTTTCAGATCCAGTCCCTCCTGCCTGTCCCCCCCGCCCCCAATGGTACATAGTGCAGATCTCACCTCTTCATGCCTGGAAGTGTTCAGCAGTCTCCTACCTTGTCTTTGTTTTGCTGATGTCTTCTTCCTGCTCAATCTCACACCCACTCTCACCATGAGTGTCATCTTTCCACAGTACAAATATGATCACATCATTCCAGAGCACAACCTTTCAACTCATCTCCACTAAGCTTCTTAACATAATATCCACTTCCATAATATCTGACACCCGCCTTAGCTCCTAATTTATCTCCTACCCAACTCAGACACATGTAGACACAGAGAAACTAGCTTGCTTAAAGCTCAGAAAATTCCAGATGATTTTCAATTTCCCATCTGCACCAAGCTTTTTTTTTAATCGCTCATGTGTTCAATCATACTCTTCCTTTTGCCTAAAATGCCCCTCTTCCCCTCATCTGTCTAGCAAATGTTTCCTTCAAGAGAGAATTCAAACATTCTATGGAAACCTCAAAATCCCACTGATTTTTTGGCAGAAACAGAAAACTTCACATTAAAATTCATCTAAATCTCAAGGAACCCCAAAGAGCCAAAACAATCTTGAAAAATCTTCTTAATAAAACAAAAGAACAAAGTTGAAAGTCTCACTCTTCCTGATTTCAAAATTTATTGCAAAGTACAGTAATCAAAACAGTGTGGGGTTGGTACAAAACAGACATGGAGACCAATGGAACAGAATTGCACAAATAAACCTATACATGTATGTTCAAATGATTTTCAACAAGAGTACCAAGACCATTCAATGGGGAAAGACCAGGTTTTCAGCAGTGTTAGGAAAACTGGATAGCCATATGCAAAAGAATGAACTTGAACTCTTAACCTCACACCACAATAAAAAAAAAATGAACTAAAAATGGATCAAAGAGCTTAATGTAGCAGCTAAAACTTTCATAAAACTCTTTGAAGAAAATAGGGAGGAAGCCATGGAATGATATGATCATATTTGTACTGTGGAAAGATGACGCTCATGGTAAGAGTAGGTGTGAGATTGAGCAGGAAGTGAATTTCAAAATGATTTCTTGGATATGACACCCAAACACAGGCAACAAAAGTAAACATAGGTAAATTGTACTCCATTAAAATTAAAAACTTCTGTGCAGCAAGCTGGGCACAGTGGCACATGCCTGTAATCTCAGAGACTTGGGAGGCTGAGATAAGAGAATTGCAAGTTTGAGGCCAACCTCAGTAATTTAGTGAGAACCTAAGCAACTTAGCAAGATCTTGTCTCAAAATAAAAAAAATTTAAAAGGGCTGGGGGTGTAACTCAGTGGCAAAGTTTCCCTGGATTCAATCCCAGGACAAAAAAATAAAATTAAAAAAAAAATTCTGTGCATCAAATGACAAAATAGCATGAAAGGCAACCCATGCTATATATTATATTATATATAATATATAATATAATATATACCCATTATATATTTTTAAAAACTCCTATAACTTTACAACCAAAAAAAAACTCTATTAAATAATTGGCAAAGGACTTGAACAGAAAATTTTGCATAAATATATAAATAGTCAATAAGCACATGAAAAGATGTTCAACATTACTAACCATGTAGAGAAATGGTAGGTATAGAGAAATGGAAACTCTTGTATACTTTTGCTGGGAGGGGAGGGGAGTAAAATTGGGTAGCTATTATGGAAAATAAAGTGGTGATTCTTCAAAAAGTTTAAAATAGAATTATCATATGACTCAGTAATTCCATTTCTGTGTATATACCCAAAAGAAATGAAAACAGAGATGTGAATAGACTTTGTAAACAATGTCCAGAGTCGTATTACTCACAATAGCCCAAAGATGGAAGCATTCAAGTGTCCATTTACAGAGGAATAGATAAACCAAATGTGGGGCATACATATAATGCAGTATTCACAGCCTTAAGTGGGAAAGAAAGTCATGCTACATCAGAGATGAACTTTGAAAACATTATGCTGAGTGAAATAAGCCAGTCACAAAAAGAAAAGTACTTCATGATTCCACACATATGAGTAATCTGCAGTAGCCAAATTCATAAGGATAGAAAGTGAAATAGTGGTTGTCAGGGAGCAGGGGAAGTGGGCAAAAAGAGTTATTATTATGGGGGTACAGGGTACAAAGTGAAAAAAGTTCTAGAGCCAGGAATGGTGGTGCATACCTGTAATCCCAGCAACTCCAAAGGCTGAGGCAGGAGGATCATAAGTTCAAGACCAGCCTCAACAATTTAATAAAGCCCTAAGCAACTTAGCAAGATCCTCTCTCAAAATAAAAAAAAAATATTTTTTATTTTAAGTAAAGCACCCCTGGGTTCAATCCCAATACCAAGAAGAAGAAGAATGGGGGAAAAAAAAAAAAAGAGTTGGAATGGTGGTGATGGTTGTAAAATAATCTGAATAAACTTAATTCACTGAACTATACACATAAAAGCAAGGTAAGATGGCAAATTTTATATAAATCCTCTCACAATTTAAAATTAGTAATTATTAATAATTAATAATTTTAACTTAATAATTATTAATAATTACTATAATAAGGTGTTAGGTATGACAGTGAATTTTGAAGATTACTTCTTGTAGTGAATCCTACAGTCAAGTTTTGGTTTCCAGTTAATAGGAATGACAGCAGAATTATTTTTTAGTGGTATTAAAGTTGAAGTACATAAAATTCTAACTCACATCACATTATGAATATGGTTTCATTCTAAGTAAAAATCTTACATTAAGAAATTGGGTAGTAAGTAGGAGTAACCCATCACTTTTATAGATTAGCCGAAAAAAAAAACATCATATTAATAGGTGGAAAAACGTATTTGTGTAAAATGTACTACAAATTCATGATCCAAAAAAGGTCTACCACAATGATGCTCTCTCTGAGCTCCCTAAATGCCTCTCTTTGGCTATCAAGTATCCAAATATTCTTCTCCTATCGTATCTATAATAGTACAATTGGAACTGCCAATTGACATGTTTGTCACCTAAGCTGAAGAGGTGACACATACCAAGTACCTAATATGATGCCTGATGAAAAGAGGGTCTCAAGAAATGCTGGCTGGCAGGACGAAAGGACAGATGAATAAAAAGAGCAGTTAGGCACGAGGTCTGTATGCCTAAATCTTTGAGGGCAGGTCTGACAGGTCTGATTCTGTTTGGGCCACCAAGCAGCACTCCCTCAGGACTATGAGAGGACCACATGTAAGCTAGACCCTCACTGTGGTGCAGAGTTTCCCCCCAAGTCTCCAAGCCTCAGATACCAATGTAGAGAGTTGCAGGAACCAGGGGCAAGAGGAAGAGGGGCCACAAAGGCAGATCAAGGCTAAGGAAAGACCACTTCAGGATGACCCATCCTAAAGGGCAGCCTCCTTGGAAGAGCCACCATGGTCCACATGGTTCAAGACAGCCGAAAGCAGAAGTCAGAACCTCTTTTCCATACAGGGCTGAGGGCAACTAGTTAGGCTTTGAAGGTCCTTGAAGTCTCTGTCACAATTACTCAATTTTGCCAAGCAGTAGAGAAGCAATGATGTCAATGAATGAGTGTGACTATCCAATAAAACCTTATTTACAAAATAGACAGTGGTCTCATTTTGGCCCACAGCATAATTTGCAGATGCCTGGCCTGGATTCTTACTGCTCAAAATATGATCCAAGGATCAGCAGTATCCATGTTACTTGGTCATTTGTTCAATCTGCATAATCCTGGGCAGCATCCCAGACTCACTGGATCAAAAATCTCCTAAGAGGCCCAGGAGAGTTTGGGAAGTACTGCTCTACAGGACCTTTGTGACCCCTTCAGCCTGAGCACTATGATGCCACACAGTAGCAGAAATCCCAGTGAGTTTCACTTAGTGCCTTCTTTATCATTCTCATCAGAGATGGGAGGGCTTGTCCTTACTAACCTGGCATATAGCTCAGCTCTCAGCATTTACAGAGTACCCTAGTGAGAGCAGGGGCCAGAGGAAAGGACACGCAGCAGAGGGGAGTTTTAAGGGCAGCTGCGCATGAGACAGGTTTGTGGTGTTACAGAAGTGATGAACCCTAGAGCCAAATTCTACTCCCAAATCCTTCTCTCTGAGCCCTCCCTCAATAGAGAGGGACCTGCTCCAGGTAGCTCTAGACACTTCCCGTTGGCAATTTACCCCGTAATTAAAACATCTCTGCATCTCTTACCAACATAAAGGTAAGGAGCACGAAGCACACACATACTGCCAAGTCCAACATTATCCTCAGTTCCTCCAGGAAGCTTCTGGTCACTGGTTGGCTCTAGAACAGTAGTTCTCAACCCTGGGGCTGTTTTGCCTCCCAGAGGACATTTGACAGTACCTGGAGATCTTTTAGGTTGTCACAGCTACTGTGTGTCTGAGTGGGAGATTGATCCACAGAATAGGAGTTAGGGATGCTACTAAATATCCCACAATACACAGAACAGGCCCCTGATCCAAAGCGTTCATAGCACCAATGATGAGAAACCTGCTCTAGAAGAAATAGCCCTACTTTATTGACCAGCCTAAGTAATTCTCAGGGCTTATGTTTCTTATGTGCATCACCAACACAGTGAAAAGGGTGGCCAACAGGGGCTGCTTAGCAACTCCTACTGCCTTGACCAGAGCAGTACAGCTCCAAACTCTGGATCAGCAATGTTCCCAGTGACCAAAAGTGAGCAGGCTCTGGGTCACAATAGCAAAGTCCTCCAAAGAATGCATCATCAACCAACACTGGCTCATTTTATTTGTTTATTTTTGTGTGGTGCTGATGATCGAACCCAGTGCCTCACGCATGCTAGGTAAGCGCTCTACCACTGAGCTACAGCCCCAGCCCAACACTGGCTCATTAATTAAACTGGAAGGCCACCTGGCACAAGATCTGATTAGGTCCTCCTCAGGACATGTCAATGCTGGGGACTATGTTGGCAGGAGTAGAATTATAACTAAGCCATATATTTTCAAAGCGAAGGCTTTCTCCCAGTAATAACCCATTGTATTATTCCCACACCATTCTAAGAAAAAAACATTTCTAATGAACACTCTAGGAACCAGCATCACAGTGCACTCTCTAGACAGCAGCAACCAAGACTTACCTTATTCTACAACAGGTTTCCTTCACCCATGGCCCAAAGTTTCTTCACCTCCTTACTGATGAACTGCAGCACAATTGAAAGAAACAGCTTCTTTCTATCACTTACATCCAAGAATCTTGTCTTCCTGACCACATGCTGCTCTCTTGATGAAGATACAATAAACTTTGTCTTGTAAACACTTCCCCTTAGATTGAATGGCTAATTGGATGCATGGTGTGTTGTTCTTACTGGCTTTCGTTTCAAAGGTAACCTCATTCCCATTGCTGCAGATTTATATTCTCTGCAGCCTTGAGTCCACCCGTCTATACTGAATGTAATGTCTAAATGGCAAAGTATAAAATGAAATGTACCTGGAGAGAGTATATTTCATCTTATGTTTCAGTAGCAGCAGTGAGCATCCCCTGATGTGTGAGCCCCATGCAGGTGACTATCTCACTACATAGCACTCAGGGGGTAGTAATCTCATTATTGCTTTAACTACCAGGGGAATGGTGTGCTGTCAGGAACAAAGAAGTACCTGGTAGGAGCAGATCATCCCTGTTGATGTTAGTTTCAGCCAGTAAAGGATCTAAATGTGGATGGTACCAGTTGACTTCTCAGACTCTGTAAGAAAAAAGAGGTGACACAAAGCCATCACATATCTAGAAGATCACATCATACTGTAAACCAGCTGTTGACATGAACCCAAGAGAGAAGTTTTGGTGGTGTGTGTCTTAATCCCTGGAGAGATGGGCAGCATTTCCTCAAAGGAGAAAGGCCATTGCCAAAGTTTAATCTGGAATGTGGATTAGACGCCCAGGGAAGCCAACCTCCCAAGGTCACTGCAGAAAGGAAACAAGAGGTAGAAGATCAAAGACATGTGCTTCCTCTTCCCTCTCATCAGCCAAAAGCCATTCAACAGCTAAAGAAGAATGCTTCTGGCCCTTCATCAGCAAAATTTGGAGGTTGATCTCTCTGGAACAGGAAGGGAGGGAATTTGGTTCCCAAACAGCATGCCCAGGTGAACCATGAAATGCAGACCCCTGCAGCTCTGTGAGTACTGGAAACCTATAAATGCTGATGTGTGTATTCCCACAGCCCGTTGCTTCGATCCTGAAGGCCTCCATTCAGTCCAGCTGGGGAAGCTTCTTTCTGTCACCAGCTTCATTTAGGAGTGTGTAGGGGGAATGAATCAGTCACAGAGCTCGGGAGCATGAACACTCCCTGCTCCACTTACACAACATATTCATCACCACCACATTCTACCAGCTCTGGCAGCATCTGACTCCTGCCTGTTTATGTCTCTTCAGATACTAATCTCAGCTGCTTGGGCTCCACCGAGAATTTGTCGTGCCCTCCTAAGGCAAGAAATTAAAAGCAAGCAAGAAAAGGAAACTGGAGGCAGAAGATTGGTAGTTCTTTACAACTCATGCACCTAAGTGCAGAAGCAGGCTCTGAGGGCCTTGACATGTGATTCTTCACTGATGAAAACCATCAAGGGCAGTCACTGAGAGTCTGAGGGCAAAGACTCCAAAGGAAAAACAGCTCCCACATACAGGCTGGGGAGGGGATACACATGACCCCAGAGAAATGGCTGAGCAGAAAGAAACTCCAATTTTCTCTCTAGTACTGATAAGCACCTGCAGATGATATATCCACCATGGTAGCCTGCCAGTCACTGGGGCTTCCTTTGTTACCACAATTTGTCCTTCGACGCACCACAGCACATCAATTCCAGGGACATATTCTGGACCCTGACATCACCTAGAAAGGTTTTTAGCTCTGAGGCTGGAGCTGGGAACCCTTTAAGGGCAGGGACCATGTCTTAATTTCTCTCTGCTCCCAGAGCCTCCCACAGTAACTGTGCTGAGCTAATGCTCAGTGAAGGCTGGATGAATGACTCACACTCAGAAATCCCACTTTTCAATCAGCACCTTTATCCTTCTTCTCCACGCGCTGAATCAAGGTCAGTGCTCTGCAACTTCTCCGAAGTTTCTTTATGCTCATCCAGTTTATCATCCTCATCTTGGGCTCACCTGTCGTCCACACAGCCTGGCTACTCAACTGTACTATGCTCTGTACTCGCCAGGACCCTTCTGCTGCCCTCCCTACCTACAAGGTCTAATTCGCAAACCACTCCAGTCCTCACCTGCCTGCTCTCCTGCCCACCACCTAGGTGCTTCTGAAAAAAAATCATTTGTCCTTGTATCACAGCAAAGGTTGAGATTATGAAATCCACCATTCAAAGGCCTTGATGTTGCTAAGAGAGTCTACATGTATTCCTGAATCTCACTCTCAGTGTTCCCATTCCCCAGAGAAAAAGGACCAAATGCCTCCTCTTTTTGCAAACTCATTTCTCCATCCTCCCCTCTCTCCGTCTTCCAAGCATATATACAACATATGTACATATGTGAGTACACACATGTATACATGTGTATGTGTATTTGTATGGGTGTATGTATATTTTTCACTCTCAAATACTTTCTTGTTCTTTCCCAGTCACTCTCTCAATCTTTCAATCTGACATTATCTACTATAAACTCATTTAATTGCCTCCACCCTTACATGATCTTCCCTTTGCTCACCTCCCCTATAGTTCCTTGTCACCCACTCTCCTTCCCTTCAAAGCCAAACATCTAGAAAAGCCAAACATGTAGAAACTCACACTTCTTCATTTCATTGCTTCTATCATTCAGTTCTCGGCCTGCAAAAGTTGGCTTCATAACCAGCCCATCTACCAAAGTATCATTGATACAGTGGCCGTAGTAAAGGAATCAAGGCTATACCTCTAACGACTGCTCCAGGATGGAGACCGTGACCTCCTGCTGTGTGGGATCTTGTGTCTCATCCTTCCCCATTCATGGTGGCTAGCACAGTACCTGGCACATAACTGCTTTGAAAGAAATTGTGTCACATGATGGGAGTCAAAATATGTGGGGTTTATACTGCCAGAAACAGGCTTTAAAACAGAACCAACAGTTTCTGAACCATCAGTGGCATTTTTATAAGACACCAACAAGACCTCTGTCTTGATTTGAGCCTAACAGCTGAATTACAGAACCAGGGTTTGGACCTACTTTGGCCCAGACAAAACACACATGAAGATCACAGACCATGGGAGTCCCAATGCCTGGAAACTTCACAAAGGATTGGGCAGAGGTCAGTATTAGGAATAAGTCACCCAATGTTAGGAATGGCTCGCCTACCCTATCATGCCTTTTATCCTGCAGATAGATACCATCATATCCAAGGCCAACACTGCTTGTAAATAAATATTTACTAAGCCCTACTGAAAACCGTTTATTTATCTCTGATATGAAGATGCTGGTATAAGGATGCTGATTCATAATGGGGATTCAGGGGAGCATGGGAGGAATAGAGGAACTTTAGATAGGGCAAAGGGGAGGGAGAGGAAGGGAGGAGGCATGGGGGTAGGAAAGATGGTGGAATGAATTAGACATCATCACCCTAATAACATGTATGAACACACACACACACACAAAAAAAGCTATGCTAGAACATCTGAGAGTTCAAAAAAAAAAAAAAGAAAGAAAAAACACATTTGTTTAGATGCTACCAACATATTTAGAATATCCTTTGAATGAATCTAGAAGAGAATAAATGTGACCAGCAATAGAGATTTGCAATCTAGCTACATACTATGGAAACAAAATAAAACATAAAAGCAATGTAAGTTAACTTATATAGGGAAGGTTTGGAAAGAGTAATGAAATACAATAATGAGTAGCAATGGGAAAAATCCATAAAGACTCCATAGAGAGGTTAACTAGTCCAGGTAAAGAATAATGAGCACCAAAAACCAAGGGTATAGAGTAACTAAAGAAGCTAGCAACCCAGAAAGTAAACCCAACAGTTACAGATAAGCCAAAAGATACCCAACAAATACCTGCTCTCTTTAGCCAAAAGACCAGGAAAGGAGCAGTCTAACATGACAGGAAGCTTTTAGACAACTACTTTGCTCTAGCCAAACACCACAGGAAAAAAAACTGTGACAACACCCACACCAGCAAAGTCTGAGTGAGGAGTCTAGACTTCTACCCTTAAGAAACTATATAAAAAGAATCCCCCACATCTCTGCCATATTGATGTCAGAGAAGACCGAGTTGGGAGATGAGCCTTTCATCCACGACAGTTGTTAATGAGCCACCCTTGCTGGTAGTACCAATGGAGACCAGATGGAAAGCTCAGACCCCCACCCTGTCTTTGTCCATTTTGTGTACCTATAACAGAATACCACAGATCATCTAATTTATAATGAATAAATTTAGTTGTCTCACAGTTCTTGATGCTAAAAAGAGCAATATCAAGGTGCCAGCATCTGGTGAGGGACTTTTTGCTGTTTTCATCCCATGGCAGAAGCCAAAAGGGCAAGAGAGGGTGAGAGTGAGAGCAAGGGGCAGACTAAACTTGCTCTTATAGCAAGTCCACTCACTCAGGTACTAACCCATTCATACAGTAACAACCATCCATTCATGAAGGCGGAGCCCTCACAACCTAATCACCTCTTATTAAGCCCTATCTCCCAACATTGCTGCATTGGGGAATCAAGTTTCCAATACACAGACATTGGAGTACACATTTAAACCACAGTACACCCCAACCCAGAAATAACTAGGTGCCCCTCCCCTTCCTTGCTGGGTATCAGAGGAGGCCTTGTGGAGACTCAGTATTCTCATCACCATCAGTGTGGTCACAAGCCCCACATCAGAGGAGACCACTAGGATACAGAATTCCCATCCTCATCAAGCAATAATAAGGAGCCAATTAATAGAAGCCAACACCAAGACAACAGAAGATAAAATTATCTGACAAAGATTTTTAAATGCCCATTAATAAAAATGCTTCACTGATCAATTGTGAAGATCTTTGAAACAGATGAAAAAAAATTGAAAGCCTCAACAAAGAAAGAAAAAGTCTCAGACAAGAAATAGAAGATATAAAGAAAAAATAAAATTATAGAATTGAAAATATAGTAACCAAAATAAAACACTCAGTAGACAAACTCCATGGCATAATGGAGAAGTCAGAGAAGAGAATCAGTGATCTGAAAGACAACATTACTCAATTGAGCAATGGAGAGAAAACAGACTAGGAAAAAAAATTAACAAAATCTTAGAGACCTACAGAATCAGGACAAAAGATCTGAAATTTGTGTTATCAGTTTTCTAAATTGTATTGAACAGTCAAAGAAAAACTTTGATGCTCCTGATATGATTCTAAATGAATATAAAGAAAATACCTAAGATAATATAAGTTATAAATGGAGGAGGGCAGAGAGACATAGATGGGGTAAGGTTTCTCATATTTCACTCAGATTGGTGAAATGACACCAGAAGACTGTGCTACACACATATATTGAAATACCTAGAGCAACCACCAAGAAAACTAGACAAAGACACACATTGGAAATCACTATAGATAAATAAAAAAGAAATTCTAAAACAAATGTTAAGTGATACAGGTAAGAAAAGATGGAAAAGAGAAAACAGAGAAAGACTAAAACCAAAACTAAAAAAAAAAAAATCCCACAGAGGAAAAAAAGAAAATGACAAACTTAAGCCTGAATAAATAATAATTACATTAAATGTAAATGATCTAAATAT